AAGCAGCAACCATGAATTCCTGCTCAAATAGAAGTAAAACACAATTTTTAAGATTGATGGCACTGTGCAGTTGTTGTGGGCTTTTTTTGTTTTTTGTGCTTGTCCTGGGGCTTGAAATCAGGGTATGGGCACTGTCCCTGAGCCTCTTTGCTCATGGATAGCACTCCACCACTTGAGCCAAAGGTTTGTTTTTGACTTTTTGGTGGTTAACTAGAGATAAGAATCTCACAGACTTAACTGAATAGGCTGACTTCGAAACATGATCCTCAGATTTCATCCTCCTGAGTACCTAAGATTACAAATGTGAACAATCTGTCCCTGGAAGAATTGTATAATTTTAGACATTATGAATTGATGAAACCTATTCTGAAATGTATTATCAAAGAGAATTATTTTATAGTGAGAGTACTTAACATCCACTCTCCATTTACAAAACGAAGTTTTTTTAATACTGAAACCTTTTCACAAATAGGTTTTATGTGAAATTTTCAGACATTGATTATACTTTTTGCAATAATATGAGTGAAAATTCTCATTCTAAAGTGTGTATAAAAAAGAGCTTGGTAACTGATTGAATGAAATAGCCTTAAACTTCAATATAATAAAAAAAAACATGAATGTAACTCATTTTTCTGATCCTAAATAAAGAAGAATACTACATATCCTACTTCTATGGACTGTTGGATAAGTCAAGGTATTTTCTCAGTTTCAGAATCTAACACTGAAAATATGATCATCCTAATCACACTTAAAACTGTAAAATATAATCATGGCTTAAAGAGTATGGATTCTGAGAAAGACAATTATTCCCAGTGTTTTCTCATCCATAATAGTCATAGACTTAAAATGTTAATAAATTTCATTTTCAGATTATTTAAGTAAAGCATTTCATGGTTAGGAAGGAGAGTATATGAGTTCTGACTTGTTCTCCAGGTAAGGTTCTACTTTTCAGTGTCTATAATTTGTGATCATAACTTATCTCCTAAGTAAAAATAAAATAAGGATCTTTAAAGACAACTAAGTAAAGCTTTTGAACTAAACAAGTACTAAGGAACCGAGCATCTAAAATAACCTACAAGATCTATATGCTAGTACAACTTGGTTCCTACAAAGTCTGGTAAAATGGAAAGAAAGGACTTGGCAACCTTGAGTCCTACTTCCATTTCTACCAAGGGGCAGCTACAGTTCTTGGGCAAGTCAATTTAACTCTCTGGGACAGACTCTTCTCTATAACATAAGATGTTGGGAATCAATGTTGTTCAGGGTCCTTTTATATTTCACAGTTACAAGGATCAAGTAGTTAAAACAATCAAAATCACTTGCTTCAGTAACCCAGTGCTACCTTATGAATTCCAAAACAAGACTTGTGAAACCAAAACTAGCACCCAGTCTTTGGTGGAGTAGAAAAAGTTGAAGACTTTCAAGAATTTTTCAACACTGTAAAGGCTAGGTAACTGAAAATTATGGTGACCATACAACAGCTTCTCCTGTGACACAGGAAAGTTAGACAAATGATGTGACAATGGATAGACATTAAAGGGGAAGCCTAAAGTGAAGGTTGCAACACCTCCAACTTCTTCCAGGTAACAAGCAAGAAGCATGTTTACATAATTCTGATTAGAATGTACAGAAAAATATATTCCTATACATAAATTTCTCATTTTCTTATATAAGGAAAATGAACACTATCAACAAGTTTATTTTACCAACAGTGGAAAACCAACATCTTTCTTAAGTTTTGTTGGACTTAGGTATATGTATTATTTCACAATATGGCCATCTTTCTCATAAAGCCAAAGGAATACTGACAATGACAGCATAAGTACAATAATGTATGAAACAATGATTTCTTAACTCTAACAACAAATTATTTCAAATATTATGCAATTATAATCAAAATTAAAATCAATCTTCAATATATGTGCTATAACATTACTTAAAATCACTACAATATAGGATCATTAATAAACCTCTACTTATCACAATAAAAAAATTTTTGAGACAGGGTCTCACTTTGTAGCTATGGCCAGCCTGAAACTCAATCTCTTCATTGCCTAAGGCTCTAAAGAGATAAGGTTACACCTGCAGACATGATGCCCAGCTCGGAAATATGAACATTTTTTTTAAAACTTAGCTCAGATACAGATCTATATAAATCAGACGTTAAAAACTTGCACTATACAAACTTTTAAAGACTTGCACTATACAAGCCTCCTAACTTAACAAAGTTGATTTCATTATTTACCAACTCTTGTTGAGTTACATATTCCAGTAAAAGCAATAAAAATGCTTCTCAGAGACTAGAGTACAAGTTTCCATGTAAACGCCGAGAGAATCAAAAGATTAATATCAATAGGATTCTTTTGGGACAAAGGAGGAAATAAAATATTTTCCTATAAAACTTACGCAAAAAGAATAATAAACTTTTACAATACTATACATAGGAAAAATTATTTCTGTAACATTTCAAAAAAGCTTTTTCACTGGTAAGAAGCTCATAATAAAGTCCTGATGCAAATGTAAAAGTTCTGTTGGTTACATAATGCTTGTTCTCTTTGTCATGTAAAACAGAAAAATAATATTTGTCAAAGCAAAATCAGATGTTAGGAAAAATGTATTTTATTATCATAGGGAAATATGGCAAATTTAGATATTCTGTGCTTATGTACTAACAGAAATCTTCTACTACTGATTAGTAATACCACAGTCCTAACTATATAAGAATCTTCGTGGAATTTAAACATTCCTTACCTTATCAAGTAATATAACACGACAAGAAGCACAGCTGTAAAGAAAGCCACCAAAAAAAAAAAAAAAAGAATAGCAAAAAATTTTTCAAGGTATAAGAAATAACAACATTACATACTCACACTGAGGATGGGTGATTAAGAATATCACTTTAGCTGGGTGCTGGTGGCTCATGCTGTAATGCTAGCTAATCAGGAGGCTGAAATCTGATGATCATGGTTCAAAGTCAGCCTGGGCAGGAAAGGTCTTGAGACTCTTATCTCCAATTAACACCAGAAAACCAGAAGTAACACTGGTGCTCAAGTGGTAGAGTGCTTACCTTGAGCTGAACAGCTCAGGGACAGCACCCAGGCCCAGAGTTCAAGCCCCATGACCAACCGGAAAAAAAAAAAGAATATAACTTTGTTCAACAAACACTAAAGCTTCCCGTTAGGTATTAACACATTGTAAATTTCCTTCAATATGTATAGCTTGCATTTAGGAAGCCCATTACTTTGCTTAAATAGTAACCTTGGACTTTTCTTGTCTGGAAACATATTTTTGTTGTCTCTTTTTCAATTTTTATTTCCTACAGCCAACTTATGTGTGTGTGTGTGTGTGTGCATGTGTATAGCTACATATGCATGCCTCTTTATAATTTGGTTATAAGTTATGTGTCAGGCACTGTCTCTGATTTTGAGCTACAAAAATGGACAAGATGTGGTACCTCTTCTCAACTAGCAAGCATCCTAGGAAACTGTCTAACAGTGATGGCTTAGAACTTATATCTTCAATATCACACTGTTGACGGACTACAAGACCGGCCAGCGCTATCACATGGCTGCCACCAATATGCCATGTGTCTCAAATGACTAACAAAGTCAAAGTTTGACATAAACATCAGCAAAATGCTACACAGTAGCAGTAAACACCATACGCAAACAATGTACAGTCTAAAAATATTTCCTAATATTTGACTGAATGGTTGGATCATTAATCAGTATGCATTTGGAAACATAATAATATTTATTAGTCACTGATTATGCTCATGATTCTTATCCCATATATCTCTATTAAACCATCATTGACATAGGATAAGGTGCTCAAGATAAGTAAAAAAATAATACAGGGAATGAAACTTCATATATTAGTTGATTTTTTGATACAAGGAGCCCTAAAAGTAGTAAATCCGGATTACTCCACCCAAGATAATAAACATTAGTTAAAGTATATCTCTTTCTACTGAAAACAAAAGTGGTATGTAGGGATGTACAAAGTTACAACCCACTTATGAAATTTTTAAAATTACTATGCAGATTAGTACATAGTGAGCATTTAATCATTATTTTAAACTGTGGTTTCCACATAGATCAGCCATAGATGTGTCACCCACATATTTATACACAGAAATATAATATTGCAATGTGGTAGTACTCGGGGATGAGGTGAAGCTTCTAGAAGGTGGTGAGGTCTCAAGAGTGGAATTGTCACAAATGGATCAGCTCCCTTGTCCCTTCTACAATGGGAGGACACAGTAAGAAGGCACCAGCTGACCCCCATCAGATCCTCAATCTGACAGTACCTGGTCCTAGACCCCACAACCTCCTAGACAATGAGAAACTCTGCGGTTTAGAAGCCATTCATAGTCTGCAGTGTTCTCGTACAGCAACTTACACAGGCTAGAAACAGGTTCTAATCCAAACAGTTGTGTAAATTAAATGAGTTGACATACATACAGGAGTTGGCATAAATACATGATACATACAAAGGTCTCAGCAAACCATCAAACCTTTTTTTGTACTTTGCCTCTAAATTCCTACTTTAAGACACTGGAAAAGAAAAAGGAAAATGCAACAGGAACTTTATTGAAAAAACTAGAAAATCACAGCATTGTGATTAATAAGTCATCTTTGTTCTGACAGCATATAACATTCCTATGAAAGTTACCATTTATTAGTATAGAATATGTAAAATGTCTTTGGGGGCAGGGAATGTGGGCTTAGTGGTAGAGTGCTTGCCTAGCATGCAAGAGGCCCTGAGATCAATTCCTCCATACCACATAAACAAAAAATAAAAGCAACTAAAAGAAAAAAATACTATTGAAAAATCTTAAATGTCTCTTAAAGTAAGTCAAGGATGTAGCTCAGTGGCAAATTACTTGCTTATCAAATGCAACTTCAATCCCCAAAAGAAGAAGACAAAAAAAAAGAAACAACAACAACAACAAAAAAAGAAATTAAGTCTTTTAAAATAGAACTCATTCATATTTTTACCTTTTCTTCTAATTGCTCCTTTAAGCACTGGTACTTTAGCTTGAGTTTTTTGTTCTCATTTTCATTCTGGGATAATTCCTCTGTGAGTCTTTCACACTGTGATTTCAACTTCTCTAGTTGGCAACGATGAACTTTAGCAATATTCTTATCTTCTAAGCTCTCTGCCTGGGATAAAGACAAGGAAAAGGAGAAAAAGCCCACTGGCTATCGTCAAATTAAACCAAACATACTACATATTATATCAGTGGGGAAAAATTTCAAAACATTAGCTCTCTCAATGTATTCATAAGCAGAAGTTAAAATTTACGTATTCTGTGAATTCCTTTCATCACCAGAACATACGAACATTCACAAGAAACAGTTACTATACTACACTGGGTGCTACAGTAGCAAATGAGGTAGAAGCAACAACTTGATAGAAATAAATGAGATGAGATGAGCTGGATAATGATAAAGGTTTGGGGGCATTCTGCAATCAAAAGGAGGGATGGTGACAATAGCCAGGGAAAAGAAATGTTCCAAGCTGGGTGCCGGTGGCTCACGCCTAGCTACTCAGGAGGCTAAGATCTGAGGATCATGGTTCAAAGCCAGCCTGGGCAGGAACATCCGTGAGATTCTTATCTCCAGTAAACCACCAGAAAACTCAAAGTGGCACTGTGTGGCTCAAGTGGTAGAACACTTGCCTTGAGCTGAAGAGCGAAGGGACATCGCCCAGGCCCAGAGTTCAAGCACCACAACCAAAAAGAAATCTTCCAAAAGGGACAAGCTATAAAATGGTACTCCAGACTGATCAATTCCCTCATCCATAAACAATCTTAAAATTCCAGTTCTTTCTAATTCCTCAAATTTCGCTTTTTTGGTTGTTTTTTTGTGTCAGTCGTGGGGCTTGAACTCTGGGCCTCAGTGCTGTCCCTCAGCTCTTCAGCTCAAGGCTAATGCCCTACCACTTGAGCCATGGTGCCACTTTCATTTTCTGAGTGGTTTATTGGAGATAAGAGTCTCATGGACTTTCCTGTCTGGGCTGGCTTTCAACCTGGAACCTCAGATCTCAGCCTCCTGAGTAGCTAGGATTACAGGCATGAGCCACCGGTGCCAGGCTTAATTTCGCTTTTTTGTGTAAAGTAATTATTTGAGACTACTCTTGTGGGGCTAAAAAGATTAGGCCTTACCATAAACATGAAAAGTTCAAACAATATGAAAATATATTTCAGCATCAAGGGCATAATAAATCTTAATTTGAAAGTAACCAAAATTGGCTTTAAAAAATAAACATTGGGAATAATCTATTGTTTGTGAGGCTTAATAATATGTTCCAGATATGGGATCTTAAAGAAGTTCATACCAGCAATATAAACATTATGTGTCAAATACTGCTCTAAGACCTTTCCATAGAGTTTCACCACATTTCACCCTCAAGGCACCCTGGCCAAGGAGGCACAAAATTCATTCTAACATCTGTGTTTTCAACTACCTATCGCTCTGCCTCTCAAAATGGATGCTATCAGGAGATTTTGAACCCCATCCTAACTAAGCACACCTCCGAGTTACTAAAATCCGCAAACAAACACCTATAACCAGTTTAATACATATATAAATAACTATATAATTATATATTAGTAATATATAATATATATGCCGAAAATGTAGCTACATGGACCTGGTGGTTTTCTTTTTCTTCTTCCTTCTTTTCCTCTTGCAGTGATAAGGTTTGTACCCTCTGCTATTCACACACTAGGCAAGCAGTCTACCACCCAAGCTATATAGCTCAGCCATGCCTCTATTTTTATAAGTCTATTCTATGGGATTAATTAGGTGTATAAAGGCACAATCATTGGAAACAACTTCCTAGAAGGAAGTTTTGTGAGTTTGAGAAAAAAAAATCTATATTTTATTTACTCTACAAAATTCGCCTAAGAACTGATGCCACTTTGAATTAACAAAGGAATTGATTTTTTTATGGGCAATCCTGTATTCACAGCCCAAAAATAAATTCACAAAATAAAGTCTCTCATCAGGAAAATTGCTCAATTACGATTTTTAAGTTGCAGTAGAATGCTTTTAGTTTTCTTTATGTCCTGTGAAAAGCATAGGTGAGTAAGATTTTTTGCCAAAGTTAACAGAGATGCTCAGGAACAAAATGTGCTCCTCTTCTCCTTCCAACTGTGCCCCTGTCCCAGGATGCCTAAATTTCTATCAGCCCAGATGGGATATTTCCGCCACAGCACCTGGCAAACTCTACACATCAGTGCTTTCCACCTAGACAATTTGCTTATAAATATTAATAGGCATATCAACTCCTAATTTGCCTAAGTACTCACCTACTATTGTGAACTATTATGCTATAGAACACGCATTTCTTTTTTGGGTATACAAAGTAATGTGTTCATAACAATCCAGTAAAAGAGAAAACTTTACTATTCATTCCTATTGTGTTGATAACACATAAAAAAGTGAAGCAACTTGACCAAAATTATTTATGCCAATAAAGAGTAAAAATATTCAACTCCTATTCTGAATCATTTGATTCTAATAAAAAAGCTCTATAATAAGGTAACAACTTAATATCCTGAAACCATTACTAGTACCTACAGCATGTCAGTAAGTATTTTAGATTTAAATTTAAAAATAAGTATAAGAAAGGTGATTCTAGATGGAAGGGAAAAGACTACTTTGTACAGAGAAAAAATATGGGGGATGTATTAGACTCTTATTAGACTTAAAAAATAATAAGCTGAAGGAAGCTAAAAAAGACGGGGTAGAAATGTAATATTCATAGAGCTACTTGTCCAAATCCTACTGTGCATAATTCAGTAAAATAATACATTAAATCTTTGTGGACTTTTTGCTATCAATTCTTTTTACTTAGTATAAATAAATAAGTAAAAGTGTAGGAAGACATTAATAAAATAACAAAGTAGTGACTATTCCTTTTGGGAAATCTACTTGGTTTAAAAAATGGACATGGCTGAGTTCTCACCATTTCTGGTTCTCTTTACAGCTCCAGGGCCACTGCTATACCACACATTAAAGAACAGCACAACAATCCTCCCAGCCCTCAGAAGCCCAAAACATAAACAAAAATACAAAATCAAAGGGTTTCAAAAAAGCCACAGAATAGCTGTAAATTGATATTCTTTATACCTGAGCAATAACCTAAAACTTTTTTGTTTCATCATAAATGATGTGAAAGCATTTCCTAAGAAATGGACAAGGAAATCAAGTCAACCATGATACATGGAGAAATTAAAACTAAACAGATACCAAAGTACATCAAGAGCAATACCTCTGCTTTCCAGCTTTGAAACATTACAACCTGACATTCCATTAAGATCTTCATACATGTGTGGAACATTACACTAGATAACTAGTTATCATAAGAAGACACAAAAACGGCTAAGGTCTGATAGTGTTTGTCTAGAGATGAATATCTAACAGGTCAAAACATAAAGCAGTCAAAAGGTATTATCCTAGATGAACCAGAAACCAACTAAGAGCTGTAGAAACACAAAGAATTTTAAAAAATCCATAAAAGTATTATCATTGTCATAGCCCAGCAATGACTACATAATATGTATTTTACTTTCTTTAAGATGTGCTCTTGTTGGATTCCAGTAGTTCATGCCTACCTACTCAGAAGGCTGAGATCTGAGGATCATAGTCTGAAACCAGCTAGGGCAGGAAAGTCCATAAAATTCTTATCTCCAGCTGGGTGCCAGTGGCTCACACCTGTAATCCTAGCTACTCAGGAGGCTGAGATCTGAGGATCACAGTTCAAAGCCAGCCCGGGCAGGCAATTCCGTGAGACTCTTATCTCCAATAAACTACTAGAAAACTGGAAGTGGCGCTGTGGCTCAAGCAGTAGAACGCTCACCTTGAGCTGAAGAGAGCAGGGACAGCGACCAGGCCCAGAGTTCAAGTCCCAGGACCAACCAAAAAAAAAAAATCTTATCTCCAATTAACCACCAAAAAAGCCTAAAGGGGAGCTGTGGCTCAAGTTGTAGAGCACCAGCCTTGAGGGGAAAAAAGAGCTCAGGGACAGTGCCTAGGCCCTGAATTCAAGCCCTAAGGACTGGCACACACACATACACAAAGAGCAGCTCTTCATATTCCTAATTCTACTTCTGTTTATAAAGCTCTACAACTCTGAAAGACTGTTACATTTAATCATTATTAAAATGTGTGTTTTTTTATATCTTACCAAGTCTCACTTGGGAATGTTTTCTTATAGTTGATATGTCAAAGTTTCATAGGTAAGAGGAGGCAGTATTTTTTTTTGTTTTATAATAAAGATGCATCTTAAATGGATACTATCAACAAGGCCCCCTTCCTTTTCTAGATTCCATTCTAATTGCTACCCCGTTAATGGCCCTAAATCCACTACTGCCAAAAAGCTAGGCAGGAAAAGACCTCATGAAATAGGTGTTGTCAGCTATTTCAATTAATTTCCTCTTCTTAAGTATTTTAAAAGTAGTAGTTGCATTTCAAAGATTTTTGAAATGATATTATTAACATTTAAAGATTTACCCATGGTTTTCACCTATGTATTTACAACATTTCAGAAACTATTTGAAGTCCTAGGGAAATAGCTGAAACTCCAGTCCTCATAGAATTTTCTAATAACCAAGGACATAAAAATCAGTATGAAATCTACATTTTATGATAAACTTTATGGAAAAAACAAGGAAGAGGAATAGATCTCTCACAGTCCTGACAATCATGTCACATGACTGACTGAGCTTGCATGGCAATAATACTAACATCATTAGAGCTTAGAAATGCTTTCCCAAAGTGACAGCTCAAGCATTTACCCCAGGCAACTTGGATATGAAACAAAAAGAGTAAATATCAAAAAGCCTTGGGATTACACAACCGATAAGCTGATCCAGTTTAGTTACTATAGCAGGAAGGACTGTGGTTAGAGCCTCTATGGCCCTAACAAGTGTTTGACTTTTATATTTTAGGGAGTCATAAATGTTGGATGAGGGAACGCTTCAGGTCCATGACTTAGTGCCACCTCTAGCTTTCCTTAGCTCCCAAAATAGCTAAATGTTCTTTGTAAAGGGCTTCCCAGGGGAGCTGCTATAACACATTCCAACCTGGCCAAACAAGCATGAATAAACCTGTTTACTGCTGGTTTTATCTTTCCTTCAGTACTTGGGAACACAAAATGATCTCGAAAAGTTTACGCTTTATTAACTTTGTGAGCCATGGAAAAATTCCTTCAATATCATCAAGATAATACAGCACCAGTACCTTCAGTGTCCTAATGTGATTCTCTGCTTCACTCTTTTCTTTCTTAAAATGCTTCATCAGCTCCTGGATATTTTGCTCATGTTTAATTTTCACACTCTGCAGTGATGACGTGAGATCTTCCAGTTCCCTCTGGTGAACATCTCGTTCTAGCTTTAACTGATTGATGACAGTAGAGGTTTCTTCATCTCGGGATTTTGTCTGAGAAGTGAGGTCAGAGAGGTCCTTAAGCACGGCTTTCTTGGCTCTCTCTTCGTCAGCCAATTTATTAGCAAGATCTGCTCGGATGGCACTCAAGTCTTTGATGGACTCTTGCATCTCAAGAAGTTTTGCTTTATCCTCAGCCTGGTTCCTCCTTAGTTTTGTAACTTCTTCCTCTAGGTGAGCTTTCTCAACTTTAATCTGGCTTTGAGTCTTAGTCTGCCTTTTCAATTCACTTTCTAGTCTATGGATGGTATCCAGGGAACTCTTGACTTCTACTTCAAGGTCAGTTTGACGAGACTGAATATCACTTAGCTTCTTCTCCTTAGAGTGAAGCTCTTCCTCTTGGCGGGCACGCTTGGTCAAAACATCATTCAGTTCCTTTCTAAGCTTCTCTATTTGTTGTAATGCTACATAAAGCTGATTTTTCAAGTCATCCTTTTCTTTTAGAATCTAGGATTAAGAATTTAAAAAAAACTGTAAAGTTCATCACAGCCTTTACAAATAAGTTCTAATATAAAAGGAGAAGAACATTTGATCAAATCAGACTTTGTATTTTCCCATTTCAAATTATATATGTATTTACATGTACATAATTAAACTAGAAAGGAAAAAATACCACACTGAAATGCGTATTTTAGATTTTTAACATCAGAATGTATCAACCCATGATTACAAGTAATGGCTCAATTACATGATAAAATTTATCACAGGAATATAAGAAGAACTCCTATTATAATTTAGTAGAGTAGAAATAATAAAGCATTACTGAAAATAATAATGTACAGTCTAATGATATTCTTAAAACAGAAAGCTTGAAGCATGTGGAAAATATCATAAGGAAGCATATAGATACAATTTAAGAAATGTGATAATATGCAAAATGTGTATAACATTAATAAAATAACACCAGTATTGAAGAGAAATATAGCCATACACAACTGGAAGCCCTGAGTCCCTAAATGGTAAAAATTAGAACAACTGAGAATTAGGATAGATTGAGAAGACAGTCAAGAGAACAAGAGATGAACTAGAGAGATGCTCATCACTCTCTGCCCCAGATTAAGGATTACTATGAAGGACAGAGGCAAAGAATAAACCATCATGGTCTCCAGTTCTTACCATTACATCACTGAAAACAAAACAATGCAGGCAGCCAACGTAACCAAAGTGTTTTCTCCATATCACTGAAACCAAGGATAATCTCCATATTTACTTGTTGATGGGCACCATGCCTTTTTAAACTTTATTTTCCTTTTATTGACAAATACCATGCCTATCTATGTGTTGCAATGTGATATTTTGAAACATGTATCCACAATGTCATCAGCCAGAAAATAAAATCATTTCAAAATCAGAAATGAATTAAAATGCAAATATATAAGGTTATTTTCTTTTTTATACCTTACTATAACCATTAATAATGATAAAACACAGTAAGTCTATCACTCCCAAAAAAAGGCAAATATCCTAAAACCACGAGGAAATGTGTTCTTAGTACAGCCAGAGCTGTTCAGATTCAGGAGGTGAAGGCTCTAGCTCCCTGACTCCACAGTCTACTCAGCAGTATGCTCCTCTTGGGTTGCTTTACGTCTAGAAGACAGCCATTCCAGGTAAAGTAGATGCAACAATAGCCAAACAGGGAAGAAAATCTCGCTTCTAGTATATCTTCTTTAGAAGCTAATGCTTACACCAAGCTCCCAAATCAACTTTACCCCTCATTACTCACTGACCAGGTCAGGAGTTTTTGCCAAATGAGTGGTGTACATTAATAATTCAGTGCAATGCATGAGGGCAACAGAAGATAACTTTAACCACTTTGGAAGACAAGTTACATTTCCATGGGAGGTTTAGGGAATTTTTTATTTTTTTCTATTGCTTGTTTTGTACAGGTACTAGTGCTTGAACTCAAGGCCTCAATGCGAGCCCAGAGCTCTTTTGGTCAAGGCTATCAGCCTACCACTTGAGGCACAGATCTACTTTTTGTGGAACATTTTCCACTTTTTGTGATTAACTGGAGAGTAATCATACCCATTTCCTGCCCTCCTGGATTCAAACCTCCATTTTCAGATCTCAGCCTTCTGAGTAACTAGGATTACAGGTGTGAGCGCACTGTTACTGGCTCAATAGAAGTTTTGTTGGCACTTACTAAGGAGGAGGAATGGAGAGAGAGTTGATTCCAGATTGTGAATCAATAAAATATTTGAGGTGGAAGGAAGAAATTAAAGAGTGAGTCAAAGTAATTTTTAATGAAGTCCAACCCATGCCTGAATGCAGGAAATGGCTGGTCAGCCAGAGGAATATGGAAAGGTCAAAACTATGCATAAACTGTTACAAAAGGAAAATGGTATGAAAGAATTCAAGATCAGAGATTTAAGACTTCGTTTTCAGTCTTAATTCAAAATTAGTTGATTTAATAGAGTGACAGTACTGTAAAAAATGAAAGTAGGGGAAGGTGGCTCAGTGGTAGAGCGCTTGCCTTGCATGAGCGAGGCCCTGGGTTCGATTCCTCAGCACCACATAAGCCAAAAAAAAAAAAAAGCCTTGAGCTGAGGGACAGCGCCCAGGCCCAGGCCCCACGACTGACAAAAGAAAAAAAGAAAGGAAATCAGTGAAGAATAAGGATATTGAGTTGAATAGGTTGCTTGCTACAAGTTTGAAATCACTAAGAATGATAGCAAGAATTCTGAGTAAGGGAAAGAACGATGCCAAAATCCTTGGGAAATTTGGAGACATAATGGAAAAATAAACCAATCTAAAGAACAGAAATGGGAAAAGAGTGTTCTAACCTCACAAACACAGCTTCCAAGAAAGGTTGTAAAAATGAGGTCTGAGAATGGCTACTTACAGACAGAAGAAATGGCACTACAAAACCATAGTAGTATAGGAACAAAAGATAACTCCTCAAAGACTAATCACAAATATGCACAGTTGTTTTAATTGAGCTAAAAGGCAAATCATGAGACTTTCAAATGCAATTTTACTTCATTTGAAAAAAATGCAGAAAATGCTTTTCTTGAATTGCTGTCAATAGGATGCACATGTATTCACAAAAGTAGTACTTTTGTACCAGTTCTTCTTACCTTAAACTATTAAAAATTCATTTCTTACAAAGCAACATATAACTGTGTTCTCAGCAGGAGGGAAATACATAGAAGGAAAAGATGGCAATTTAAGATTCTTAAAGTCAAATACTATCAAGCAAAACACTCAATACATGGGCAAGCTATATAAATTCTGCCAGTATGTCTGCCAACTCAGCAAGAAATAGAAAATATGGAAAAGCATTGTCCATGTTAAAAAGAATATAAAAAGAACTTAAAACACTCAGAAAAGCACATACTGTCATCAGAGTCGAAGTTCAAAATTGCTCCTTTATCATTTTCAAAGCACAAAGGCAAAGCAATTATTTCAAATACTTTAAATGAGACACAGTGAGAGAGAGAGAAAGAGACAGAAAGGGAGAGAGAAACATTACAACTGACAAGTAGATTGTATCTATACTGTTCTAGGTCTTCTCATATGTGTTCACCTACATATTCCTAAAAAACATCATGGTTCCCTAATATAAATATCCATATCATTGTTCTTTAAGGAAAGAAAATAACCAAATACTTCTGGATATTTCTGTAATTTTATGCTATTTGTTTGGTCTTACATATCCCTTATTAATAGAGTAGTTGTGTAATCTTCACAAGATTCTAGTGCTATATCAAGCAAGGAAGATTTTTAAAAAGCAAATTTAAGGCATTAAAATAATTTAGGATTTGAATATTTTATGCTGCAAATTTTAAAGCAGAAAATAAATTATGCCTAAAGAAAGAGAAATGGATACAGGCACAAAATCATTGTGCAAAGATGAAGACTGTATCACCTAACCATATAATATACTTCATTTTATATATAGTTCAGGTAAGACAATTACTTAATAATCAACTCATTTCTTAAACCACAACATGATGTATTTATAAATGAGTATCATTTTCATTTTAATGTACACTTCCAAATATTCCCTAGAGTCAGTTTTCGGAAGTTAAAAAATTAGCCAAAAAAAAAAGACTAATGGTATTATTTATGCAATAAGATGGCTTTGTGGGGTTTTTTGAGAATTAAATATTCCTTACAGGTGATATTCAATAGGATGGTTAAAAACTATTTCCTTCCAACATTTTTCGGCATGTATTTCTACATCATAGATGTACTGGACACTTGAATCTGCGATGAAACATTTCTTACCCTTTCTTCCTTGATTAACCATGGTTCTAACTACGATATGCTGCATTAATTTTTAAGGCTTTTAAAGGAGAAATTACAATGCCTGCTGTGATAATTGTGATACTATCCTAACTATGGTAATCACTTTAAAACTACTTCTTTGCTTATCATTAGCAATGCTAAATGATAAAAATAATTATGTCAGAAATATTTGAGGAAATGATTGTTTAACAATTTCTAATACTCTGAAAACTCAGTCCAAAAAAACTTGCAACACCATGCCATAAATTGGTGTACTACCGAATGACACAGACCTTTCTAAATTTCCTCTAATTAAGCCAAATCTCTGCACCTCAACCTTTCTTCTTGTAAGCTCCCTTACTTTGGACTCATTGCACCAGTTGCCAGACTGGGCTGACAAGAGAATAATGAAGGTAGAGCAATTACCTTGGACTAAACCAGTGCAGGATCAAGTCTGAAAGCCTTAGAACTGCTTTAACTCAGGGAGGCCAGTCACTCAAAAGGAAAAGCCCTCAACACTGAGGGCCAAGTGATCACTGCCTTCATTCTCTCTCTGTCTAAGAAATTCATACATAAAAAGCATCTTTTCCATGACATCTCTTTTGAAATGAGCGTCTGTCACTTTTAAAACCGTCAACTGGTTTTATAAATATAGCTATCCTACTTTTTTTTCTTTTGAAAGAAATTCCTCAACTTATCCAAATGATGATTTTTCTGGAATGTTTAACAATCTTGACAGTGACAAATGACAAAGCACAAATGAGAAACCAACACAAAACAGGGACAAAACTCAATCGTGAATTTGCTGTTTATTATCCAGTTGTTTATCAACATCTGGATTTAATTCAATTCAAATATAACAGTTCTGCATCAACTGGGAAGCATCAACTCCTTTTAAAGTAACCAATCACACAAGAGGAAAGAAACTGTGGAAATGAATACAAAGACATTTTGTGTTGCTATCACAGGCCATAAAAGCAGAGTCAAGAAGGGACTTGTGACCTGTTAACACAGTCAGTGAGATTGTCAATGTCAGTCACTTCATTAAGCCTATTATCATCACTGCCAGAAAACAGCCTGGTGATAATTTGCTTATTTTTTTTTTTTGGAGGGGGTGGGTATGGATCCTGAACTCTGAGCCTGGGTGCTGTCCCTCAGCTCTTCAGCCCAAGGCTAGCACTCTACCACTGGAGCAACAGCGCCACTTCTGGCTTTTTCTGCTTTGGTGCTAAGGAATCGAACCCAGGGCCTCATGCATGCAAAGCAAGCACTCTACCACTGAGCCACCTTCCCAGACCAACTTTCATTCTTAAAATGTCCTTTTCTCACCAATTCTTAAGTTGAAGAGGACAAATAAATGAGATTTAAATACATGCACTGGGAGAAAAGTCATATGATTTTTAGGAAGACTTGGTGATTTTCCTCCATTTGAATATTGTAATTGAGACAGAAGATGGCTCTCCAATTCTGAAACACATAGAATGTCAAAAAATTAAAAAGGATTTAATGGCAGGTACCACTGGCCACACCTGTAATCCTAGCTACTCAAGAGACTAATATCTGAGGATCACAGTTTATAGCCAGCCCCGGTAGTAAAGTCTATGAGACTCTTATCTCCAATTAACCACCAAGAAGCCAAAAGTGAAGTGGCAGCTCAAGTGGTAGAGCACTAGCCTGAAGTGAAAAAAGCTCAGGGATGGTATAGACAGTGCCCAGGCCAAGTCCAAGACGCAACGCGTGCATGCGCGCACACAAACACACACACACACACACACACACACACACACACACACACACACAGAGTTTTGAAAACAGCAGGAAAAAAATAGCAACACCAACAACAATAAAACAAAAAACAAAAATGATTATATCACTTTTACTGGAAAAGCCAAGATAAAAAGGCCCTTATCTAAATGATATACTACTGATAGATTGTATGCATAGCACTGCACACAAATATTTGTTGAACATATAGATACACCAATGATTCATTTTAGAAAAAAAAATCTTAAGAACCTGGCTTTTATACCTGATTATTCTTATCAGTCAGTTGATCGAGAGTTTCAGATTGTTTCTCCATTGCTCGCTCTAACTTCTTATACTTAAGCTTCCATTGCCTAATGGTTTCTTGAGCTTTCATTTTCAGGTCTTCTCGCCTCTTCTCTGCCTCCTCTCTCAGGGCCTCTGCCTGCTGGCACTCACTGAGGTACTGCTCGGCCTGCTTGGTTGCATCCTCAGCGTGGTGAGTCAGCTCTGAGATCTGGAGGTCAGCATGCTTACGCTCAGCCTCACATGTATCAAAGTGACTCTCGATCTCCTTAAGTCGATCCAACATCTGCAGCTGTTGTTTTTCTTTGTTCTCCAATTCACATGCTAGATCCTGAGAATAAAATGTATGATACATTAAAAAGTAAATTCTTGTCAAAATGGGATGTATGGCATCTCAAAAAACAAGAATCACTAATATCATTGAAATAGAAAGTTATCAATATTAAATTTCATTAGCAATCAACCTACAAAATGAGTCTCTCTCTGTGAACTTAATCAAATTAAATCAAAACAATTTTAAAGAAATATTATCTTTTTTAGACTATCTCTAAAAAGAAAAATATGTATAGTTCTGCCTGTCATTAAAATACAAGACATTGTGAAGAAAAACAATGTGTAACTCTAATAAAGACCTTGGTGCTTTGTTCAGCAGAAGAAATGTCAGTAATTTAAAATGTGGCAGAATATTAGCAAACCAGTAGATGCATCATGTAACATTTTACACAAAATTTTATTATAATAATAACATAAGCATTGATAACAGAACCATCAGTACAATACAATATTTGGAAGTTCATTTGAAGGATTCCCAGTTAAGTGTTCATAGACAGGATATTTAGAAGTTACACTTATAATGTCACATAACGTAACATTATATTATACAACAGATAATGTTGAGATAATGTTGAAATGTTCACCTCAAACTGAAATGAACTATTGTGGTTTAAAACCAGGCATTGGTGAACCACCTATAATCTCAGCTACTCAGGAGACAGAAACAGTAGAATCATGAGTTCATGGTCAGTCCTGACAAAATCAGTGAGACTTAATATTTAAATATAATTTGTTGGGCATGATGGCTCACACATGTGATCTTTGTTGTTTAGCAGGCCAAAGTCTGGAAGATCCAAGTTTGAATCCAGTCAGACAAAAAGATGTTCAGCATGGTGGCATATGGTTTTCATTCCAAGTATAAAGGAGGTGTATACAGAGGGATCACAGGCCAGGCCAGCACATGCAAAAAGTGATCCCCTATTTGAAAGATAACCAGCTGAAAAGGAGTGAGGGGTTGGGTATGGTACAGAACATGGAGCCCTGAGGTCAATCTTTAATAGTAAAGAAAGGAAGCAAGAAAGGGAGGAGGGAAGAAGGAAAGGAAGGAAGGAAAAAATAACAAAGGGCAATTGACAGGAAGGGAGGGAGGAAGGGAGGGAGGGAGGAAGGAAGCAAGGAAGGAAAGAAGGATCGGATCGATCTTAGAATCAAATTATTCCAAAGTGAGAGTGATCATTATGTTTGGAAATTACCCTGCATCAAACAACAGACTATTGCTTTTCTACAAGTAAAAGAATGTTATTGTCATTAACATCAAACCATTCTTACAAAGGAAGTTACCTTGTAAGGAAGTATCAAATTCAGATACTGAGTGTTTACAGTGTGTCACATAAGCTCTCCTTCCATATAATTAGGGACAACTAAAGTAACATAAAAAGGTCATGAGTCCAAATAAGAATGGACTCCAAAGGACAAGATGATAGGACAATGCTGTGACTGGGACAAACAATGAAAATTATCTACACTGTACTAAGGCGAGGACAAATAAAAGACTGAAAAAGCTTAGAAAGTTCTTCTGGTCTCAATAGGAGAATTTTTAAGCCTCAATTCCATTAGCCATGATTAGTTACAGAAGTAAAGTCAAATATAATTCCCTTATGATTAAAGTCATAGTTTGACACTATGGCAAAAAAATATTATTTATACAAACATGAAGGCCTCAAAAACAAGGTTCGTTTTCTGAGCAACAGGTTTGCATTTGCTCAGTTGCTAAACTCCAGATAGCCTCCAGGCGATGACTCACTCCTTTGTTCTCCCAAACAAAACAGTAAATTGAGAATTGTGCACTTGTTTGTGTGGAAAAATTCTAAAATGAGATCAGAAAACTCTTGTGATTGTGGTTTACCTTTTGCCCGTCTTCAGAGAGTTTTTACTAGTAGTCTCGAAATCAACTGTATTAACACACAGAAATCAAGTTATTTCGAATCAAAAAACATACGTGGACCTCATGCTTATTGCTTTGCAAAAAATATGTAGGAGTGTGATTATACCTAATTCATGTCAGCCACTTCATTATCTATAGAAAGATTAATTTAAATGTGGCTTTAAAGAAAAGAAAGTAACAATTTAGTTGGGGAGGAATTTACTTCAACAGTTAAATTACAACAGTAGATAGTACTAGGTCCAGAAACATAATGCAGTTACCAGAAGATATCTATATTCCATAGTAAACTACGTTCTATAGACTGCACTGAGTCTAGGAAGTAATATATAAGTTGAGATCCAAGTGACAAGAAGCTACCAATAATTAAATTAAATTACTATTGAGAAATATTGAGCACTGCAGTTGCTGTTGGGATTGAGAAAATGCTTTGTGTGAACTTCCTCATTTAATTCTACCACAGAACTAAAATAAAGCACTTTTATCGCTCCACTTATGTAAGATGTAACAAATGCTGGCTGCAGTCAAAAGTTTGACCAGCATCACATCCTGATAGGTAAGGACACATGGATTTGTCATTCCATTGTGTTTACTCCATAAACTTAGTTTTTCAGGTAGTTCATAAACTACCTGATTCTGAGGACTCCATGACTCTTCAGTTACCTACTCCCATGGTTGTACTGTATTTGTATAGTTTTATAAGAACTGCTATCTTTATGGTAGAAGTTCTTCCCCTCCATTTCTAATCCTTATTATGGGATTATGGCTTTAGCTACTAAACTGACCACTTCCTGTAGATCCTTTCCAATGCTATGCCTGTTCATTGTCAAGATGATAAGTCCCTTTACATTCCTTTTGCTAGCTTTAAACCCTGAGGGAAGGGAAGGGAAGGGATGACAGAAATAAAGGAGAGAGTTTTCTTATAATGAAGTCAAAGAGAGAGGTAGAAAGAGAAGGTAGGGGTAGAAGGGGGAAAGAGGAATGAAGAAAGAGAGGGAAAAGGAGAGAAAAAAAGAAAAAGATGTGGGCAAAACTCATAAAGTGACAGAGACACAAGTTATTATTAAAGGAGAGTGTTGTAAAGAAGCCTATCTTATTTTCTCCTCACAATTCTCCCTAAACCTATTAATTTCTGCTCTGCTGACTCCTTCTTTGATTTTCTTAGTCCTTTGATCCCTAGTTGTTTGTTGTTGAACTAGATTGTACATGTACTCATTTTAACTACGTCAAACAACCAGTGCAACTACAGAGCTCTGGTTGATGCTTGCCTTAAAATAGTGTTCTAGAACAGAATTGGTTTTGCTTTCATACCCAAATACGCAGAACAAGCCAGAGAAACACAACAAAAATGGCAAGTCCAGGTACCTCAACTCCCATTCATGATAATCAGGCGACAGAGCAGTTAATGAATAATCCAAAGGAGTGTTCCCAAATGCTCTACAAACACTATTAGTAAACATACTGAATAAAAATATTGATACCCTGCAAAAGTCTCTGTGTGAGCCTGATAGAGAAACACATGAGCATGATGAGGCTATCCAAAATTTAATACAGGAATTTTGTGAGCATGAGGAAGCTAATCAAAAATTAATACAGGAATTGCGTGAGTGGGATGAGGATAAACAAAGATTAATAGAAGCATCCATGGAATCCACAAAGAGAAAGCTGGAGGAATTCATGGAGGCCACAAAGAAATGCTGAATGAAGTACAACAGAAGGAAAGGGAGACCAATGAAACTATAACCAATCAACTAAGGGATTGGAGAATGAATGAATGAAAATCAAAATCTAAAACAAAGCTCCAACAAATAAATTGAATAATTAGACCATGCAGAAGATCAAATCTCTGGATTGAAGACAGCCTAGAAATTATAGAGAAAGAACAAACAATTATTCAAGACAAAGCCAAGAAATATGATAGCTCTATTCAACATCAAGAAGACACCATCAGAAAGCCTAATTTAAGGCTAATGGGTACAGAGGAGGGTCTAGAGACAGAAATAAAAGGTCTAAGGAATTTATTCAACAGGACCTAGCAGAGAACTTTCCAAACACACAAAAAGATGGGCCCATTCAGATACAAGAAGCCTTTAGAGCCCCAAATAGATCAGACCAGAACAGGAAATCCTACCATCACGTTGTAATCCACACAGGACCAAGTGAGACCAAGCAAAGTATCCTTAAAGCTCTCAGAGAAAAAAAAAGATCAATCATCTATAAAGGGAAACCAATCAGAATAACTTCAGATTTCTTAGCAGAGACAATGAAAGCAAGAAGAGCCTGGAATGATGTATGCCATGCTCTAAAGACAAACAACTATCAACCAAGAATACTGTATCCAGCTAAACTCTCCTTCATAACCAAAGGCGGTGGCTCAAGCCTGGTAAGACTAGCTACTCAGGAGGCTGAGATCTGAGGATCTCAGTTCAAAGCCAGCCTGGGCAGGAAAGTCCATTAGACTCTTATCTCCAATAAACCACTAGAAAACCAGAAGTGGCACTCACCTTGAGCTGAAGAGCACAGGGACAGCGCCCAAGCCCAGAGTTCAAGCCCCATGACTGACAAAACAAAAAACAAAAAAACTTTTCACAGCAAAGAAAAATTGAAACAATATATCTCCACCACACCAGCCCTACAAAAGATACTTAAAGATGTCCTACTCATAGAAAACCAACAAGAGCATAATGAAGGACAAGAAACAGCCCCCAAGAATCATAGGAAGAAGCCAGTTGGCATAGCTCCCCAGAAGGTGGATAACATGGCAAGAACGACCAAACACCTTCAGTCCTAACTCTCAATATTAATGTACTTAAATCTTCAATTAAGCAAATAGACTGTCTAGTTGGATCAAAAAGCAAGATCCTTCTATCTGCTGCCTTCAAGAGACACACCTTGCCCACAAAAACAAACATATTCTGAAAGTGAAAGGCTGGAATAACATCTACCAAGCAAACAGCCCCCATACACAGGCAGGAGTTGCAATCCTAATATCAGATATAATAGGCTTCATATTAAAATTAGCAAGAAGAGATAAAGAAGGTTATTACATGCTAATTAAAGGATCTCTCCTTCAGGAAGATATTACAGTTCTAAATATCTATTTATCAAACAATGGA